TCAGCCGAAAACTGTTGCTCAGGTCCCTGAAAACAAAGCCAAGAATCGTTATAACAATGTGCTGCCATGTAAGAACCACAGGACTCACAAGTGTTTCCCTTTGTGAAGTTACACAACACTGACTTTCCTCCACTCTGTTCTAGACACGTAGCCCATATTCATAATGGTTCGTGTTTTCTCGACAGATGATTCATCTCGTGTCAAGCTCTCTGTGCTCAGCAGCCCATTTGATGACTACATCAATGCCAGCTACATGCCTGTAGGAAGGGGAAAAACTACAAAAAATATGACATTTAGCTCTTTACACAATTGTCACACTAACTGTGTGATATTTCCAGGGTTACACTTCAAAGAAGGAGTTTATCGCAGCCCAAGGGCCACTGCCCTGCACTGTTGATGACTTCTGGAGACTGATCTGGGAGAAAAACGTCCACACTATTGTCATGCTCACCAAATGCAATGAGCAAGGACGGGTACAGTATACATTCATGCTTCACTTTCTCTGTGGTCTCACCTGTTAGAGCCTTCATTCCTCATGTTTTAGTTAGTTTTATTGTTAGATTACTCTACATATCAGTACCAGCATCAGGCTTTAAAGGTGCAATAGGTGATTGTCTTCAGAAACATTTTTTGTTATGCTGGTTGAAAGTCTCTTCACATCCCGATAGCAATCATTAAGTTAAGTGGTCTAAATGTATTTGTCTGTATTTATATATTCTGTGGAAGGCATAGGATCAAGAAATGTTCGTCCAATCAATTTTGTTTTAATACGCTTTCCTACCTGTCTGTCAACGTATGTATTTGCATACCTCTGCGCACCCGGTTCGCGCAGACAGGATACATCATCAGCGCATTCACGCACGCTGTGCAGACAGAGTGAGAATGGCAGACGAACATCAACAACCCGATCTTCCTTCCTGGTATTGTAGTACCTTTAAAGTTTTCTCACCGGTGAATGACACATGATGTAGCCCAGCGGTTAATCCAGTCCTCGCGCCAGCTCGTTAGAAGTGAGCTACGTGCATGAACTGTGTTCCGATCGATATGATCCCTACACAGTGTTCATTGCTCCCTACTCCCTGAGTGGGGGAAATCCGTTGAAGTTTACCTCACTTCGGAACATGGGCTGGAATTGGGAACCGCTGATGTAACCTATTGTAGTAATGTTGTCTCTGGTATTCTGGTCTGTGAGCATAAATGCGTTCAGGGGCGTGGCTTTGGACGGCGATTGCAGGGAGGGTGGGACGGTCGCTTTCAGTGCTATCAGGCTAAAGTTAGCATTTTCCAAGATCTCCTACTGCACCTTTAAAAGTCTAAATCACTTGACCACAACATATTCAATGTTCGTATCCTCATTCAACAATTTGGGATAATTTTGTAATACCTCATCTCGGTTATAGAACTAATAATGAGCTTAAATGAATGCTGCCGCAATGTTTTGTCCCTCTCAGGTAAAATGTGAGGAATACTGGCCAGCAGAAACAAAACATTTTCACAATCTGACAGTGACGAATACTTCCGAGATCACATTGGAAGATTGGACTTTACGTGACTTTGAAGTGAAAAATGTAAGTCTGCATTAATATTATAGATGGATCCAGGTGCTATCTTTACCAAATATTACACAAAATCATGAATAAAAATATAAACATACTGTAACTGTTATAACTGCACCACATTGTTGTCAGTGTTTTGTTTTTTTTCTACTGCATTGGTGCCCATACTTTTTGTATTTATGCATTTTATTTATACACATATTATTTAGGCTGGGAAATAATCATACATTTAAATTAAAAACGACATTAATATATCAAACAATTTATACAAGTAACAAATTTTCTAAAGTCATAATTATCTTCTCGGTAATATGGTTGCAATATGTCTCAATTATAACGTTATGACTCATGCAAAGTATTGTGTCAATGTTTTGGGAAAAATGATTCCTGTCATAACAGGTGAAAACAGCAGAGTCTCGATCAGTTCGTCACTTCCATTTTACTGCGTGGCCAGACCATGGAGTTCCTGAGACCACTGAGCTTCTCATCAACTTCAGACACCTGGTCCGAGAACACATGGACCAGTACTCAAGACATTCACCCACACTCGTGCACTGCAGGTACTTGAATAGTTCCTGAACTCTCGCATATACAAACAGGTCTACTCAACGATGTTTTGTTATTATACTCCCACAAAGAAAAATGTCATTTTCATCATATTTTTTGTTTTCATAATACAGTGCTGGTGTGGGCCGGACGGGAACCTTCATCGCCATTGATCGTTTAATCTTTCAGATTGAGCGGGATGGTGTAGTAGATGTATATGGGATCATCCACGATTTACGCATGCACAGACCACTCATGGTTCAAACAGAGGTACATTCATTACCAATTTTTGAATTTAATGTTCTTTTATATATGCTTAAATATATAGGCTAAATGTTCGTATATATATATATATATATATATATAAATCTTCCTTAAATGTCTTCTGCCATCTTATTCTCTAACAGTGCAGGCCTTTACATTCTCTACTTTTGCAGGATCAATATGTGTTTCTTAACCAGTGCTCCATGGACATCATCAAGTCTCGAACTGGCAACAATGTAGATTTGATTTACCAGAACACAGCTGCACTCACTATTTATGAGAACTTTGAACCCTTAAAAAAAGCCAAAAATGGCTACCATAAGGCCTGACCGTCTACCTTGAATAATTCGCTGCACTGCTATAAAAGAAACTTTTTTTCTTTTATCTTTTTAAATGGAGTTTTATTTAAAGAGGAAAAACAAAAATATATTTATTAAGTTTGTTTACAGTGGTATAAAAGTATGCAGAAATATTTGTACATTTTGTTAATCAAGTTTTTCAGTTTTAGAATTGTAGCTGCAGGGATGTTTTGTGAGTTTTCATAGAATAAAGCTGATAATGTTTCAATAATGTAATACGACTTCATAAAAATGGCATTTCCTCAGACATACTGTAGGCTACAGGTGAAATGAAGACAAGCATGAACAGAAATATAGAAATGTGAACACGTCACATGGGACTTCACCATTAGACAGTAGTGCGTTGCTACATCATTTGTAGTGAAGACAAAATGGGTTTCCAAAACACCTCTTCTGTGATTTAACATAGCAACTAACCTTGGTATGAGCCAGTAGGTTGCGTCTGAGCTGTTGTGCCAGGTTGCTGTTCTCAGGTCTGTGTTTTTAATATATCTATTATTTCCGGATGTCACAAGCCAAAGGTTGACCTTAAATGGACCATAAGGACAATACGTTAGCATTGAACAGTTGCAATCTTTGGTATTCTCTTCAGTTGTTTATTTTCAGTAAAGAGACATGCTGTCCTGTCTCTTCCTGGTTTGTAAATGTTTTTGTTTTCCTTTTAGAATGAGGTCAGTGAATGTTTAGTATATGCCTACTGATGTAATTTATTACAAAAAGATTTTAACAGAGTGTGACTCTGTACCATGTGTGCACTTAAACTGTTATATTTGTACATAATATATTTTGTTCAGACTGAACTTCCAACTATTGTTTTTTCACAAAGTGTTGTTCCAGGGACTTTTTGCTTGTGTGGTTTTAACATTCTGCAATTTTCTGCACAGATTTTTAAAATGGTTTATTGATACTCTGCTGGTCATGATAAAGAACCATACAGATGAACTTTGAACTCTGTAATATATTAAGATTAAAAAAGCTGCACTTTATTTCACACTACTGTGGTGACTTCTGTGTATGTGGGGGTGGGGATGGGGTTGGGGTAGAAAAGATAAGCAAAGAAAAAGGGTTAGCTCCATATACAAAAAAACAAAAACAATAAAAGTCAACTGAAGGTCACATGCTAAAGGAAAACAAACGTTGGTGTGGTATATACAGGGTGCGATTTGTGAAACAAACCTGGCTGTACATATTCAATCGCGTTTGCTTCCATTTATTTTTGATCAGCGCTTCGCTACACAATACAAACTTTTGCATATGCGCGCATTATGTATTCACACGTTTACCTCATATTTCTTTAAATAGAATAGAACCATAATTTCTTAATGACTTGCAGAAAGACGATTCTCTGCCGATCCATCAGTCATATTGCGTGATCATTCCCACAGGATGACAGTAAACTTCTGCGTTCTGTCTCATAATACACTTATGCGTCAGTTTATTATATCTGCATTTGATCACAGTAGAGTGAGTTTTGAGCAAAAACATTGTGTATTAGTCTCATACTGTCATCGCGCGCTGACTTTCTGAAAAGCCCTGCATGGATTGAGGCGCGGCGAGAAACGACGACCAGGATCATGAAACCCAGACGCTCTCTATTAAGCGGGAGCGCTGACAGTTCTACTTCTGATTTTGTTGTTTGTATTGTCATGTTGCAGTATTTTACTTGCTGACGTTTTAAGAAATTATTTTATTTTTGGTATTTTATATGGTCTGTTTGTGGTTGATGGAGTAGCATCACCCGGGGAATATTTTTTTATCCCCACCGGGGATAAAAATAATTCAGCAGAGGCAGGGATGAATGGACCAGAAGGGAGGAAATCCCCCCCTACAATCGCACCCTGTCTATGTATATATATATATATACACACACACACACACACAGTATAGTAGGCCTGTACGAAGTGAAAACTGGTGGAACTTGGTGAAAAGCTGGTTACTTCATTTCTAAGGTTACATTTTGCACAAGAAATTGGATTGTTCTTTTTTGCAGGACATGACATGTGACCAAAAACGTTCTTATTTTAAAATCAAGCCAACAGCAATAGGCTATCTTTCTTCCCTGTGAACTATTCTCAACAATGAGCTCCTGTGATATCGTGTACTGCTTGTTCTCTCTAGGTCAGTCTCTCTGCCGTCAGTTCATCTGCAATTCTTCTTCCGTTTAGTCACAGTAGATGTGGATTGTATTAAATTAGCTTTGTTGACGGCTAACCTGGTCACGCCTCCAGTCTTCACGAGACAGAGAGGAGGAATTTTCTCGATGTACGTTATCCACAACAAAATGGCGAGGACTAATGGTTTTATTTTAGCACTTTAGACACCTTTATACGCTTTACACTTTTATTTTTTATAACCCAGTCCGGTTACTTGTGTAATCGGACAGTTTGACTTCCAAGGTAAATATGATCCGTGGTCTTGTGCGGAGATGAAACGACTGCAGATCTTTATATCAATTATTACTTCTTTATAAATAACAATAATAGTATTTTATACTTTTAAACCCGTATAAACCCCTTCTTTCCCACCGCAGTGAGCAGAGCTTCGGAGAAACTGAAACGGCTCAAAGTCCTTTAACCTGTTGATAATCTGAAGACTGGTTGAAGTTCAGCTCTGCGCTTAACCTTTCCCTTACATTAAATTATGAGTTGTCACCGCCACTACAGCGGGATACAGCCGTAAAGCGTTACGGCTTATAATTTGTTCTTGTACTGTATATTCGTCGGAGTTTCAGATAAATTACGTTGAAGCAGATGCTCTTAATTTACCCGTTTAAGGAGAACTATCGGGGGACAAAAACCTAAAGCTGAGATCTAATATAGCGATTTGAATGATGGAACCAGAAGCGAAGCAGAAAGTGATTTACATCATCTACCTCATCGCAGCGCTGGACATCACCTGGCTCTTTCTCCAGTTCTCCATAACACCGGTTCGTCTTGCTTTTCGACTTCAGTTGGGATCAAATGTTAAATAAAACCACCTTTGAATCGATTTTGCTGAGCCCTGGAATATCTGCAGGGGTTTTGGCTGTGTTCTCACATTTGACACGTGACATTCCAGCAAACAAACTAAGTCTTTGATCATGTGAACTGAATATTTACACTTAAATTTAATATTTTTTTATATAATACAATTTCTATGATAAATCATTATATTATACATCACATGTATGTATATATATATATATATGTGTGTGTGTGTATATATATATGTATTTATGTATATATGTGTTTAAATATATATATATATATATATATATATATATACAGTGCTGCTTAAAAGTTTGTGAACCCTTTAGAATGTTCTATATTTCTGCATAAATATAGCCTGAAACATAATCAGATTTTCATCCAAATCCTGAAAGTAGACAACGAGAACCCAATCGAACAAATGAGACAAAAAAATAATAATTCTTTGTCATTTATTTATTCAGGAAAATGATCCAATATATCTGTGAGTGGCAAAAGCATGTGAATCTCTAGGATTAGCTATTAATTTGAAGGCTAGAAAAGGTTACAAAGTCATCCCTATAAAGAGTTTGGACTCTACAAATCCACAGTCAGACAGATTATGTACAAACGGAGGAGATTCAAGACCACTGTTACCCTCCCTAGGTGTGGTTGACCAAAAATAGATCACTCTAAAAGCAAGAAGTGTAATCCGCAAGGTTGCAAAGGAGCCCAGGGTACCTTCTAAGCAACTAAAGGCCTTTCTCACATTAGCTAATGTTAATGCTCATGAGTCCATCATCAGGAGAACACTGAACAGAACAACCATGGTGTGCATGGCAGAGTTGCAAGGATAAAGCCACTGCTCTCCAAAAAGAACATTGCTGCCCATCTGCAGTTTGCTAAAGATCATGTGGACAAGCCAGAGGACTACAGGAGAAATGTTTTATGGATGGATGAGACCAAAATAGAATATTTTGGCTTTAATGAGAATCGCTATGTTTGGAGAAAAGAACACACTGCATTCCAGCATAAGAACCTTATCCCATCTGTGAAACATGGTGGTGGTAGTATTATGGTTTGTGCCTGTTTTACTGCATCTGGGCCAGGACAGTGGAGAAAGAAAACACTGCATTCCAGCATAAGAACCTTATCCCATCTGTGAAACATGGTGGTGGTAGTATTATGGTTTGTGCCTGTTTTACTGCATCTGGGCCAGGACAGTTTGCCATCATTGATGTAACAATGAATTCTGAATTATACCAGCAAATTCTAAAGGAAAATATCAGGACATCTGTCCGTGAACTGAGTCTCGAGAAAGTGGGTCATGCAGTAAGACAGTGACCCCAAGCACACAAGACCATTCTACCAAAGAATGGTTAACCTCTTAAAGAAGAACAAAGTTAATGGTTTGAAACGGCCAAGTCAAATTCTGGACCTTAATCCAATTGAAATGTTTGCTCCACCAACAAAGAACACTCTAAAAGCAAGACGTGTAAAAGTCCACTAGGTTTCAAAGGACTGCAGTCTAACTTCTAAGCAACTAAAGGCCTTTCTCACATTGGCTAATGTTAATGTTTATGAGCCCATCATCAGGAGAACACTGGCAGCTTGCCATCATTGATGTAACAATGAATTCTGAATTATACCAGCAAATTCTAAAGGAAAATATCAGGACATCTGTCCGTGAACTGAGTCTCGAGAAAGTGGGTCATGCAGTAAGACAGTGACCCCAAGCACACAAGACCATTCTACCAAAGAATGGTTAACCTCTTAAAGAAGAACAAAGTTAATGGTTTGAAACGGCCAAGTCAAATTCTGGACCTTAATCCAATTGAAATGTTGTGGAAGGACCTGAAGCAAACAGTTCATAGGAGGAAACCCACCAGCATCACAGAGCTGAAGCGGTTCTGTACTGAGGAATGGTATAAAACTCCTTCAAGATGTTGTGCAGGACTGATCAGCTGTTACCAGAAAAGTTACCTGCAGTTATTGCTGCAAAAGGGGGTCACTCCAGATACTGAAAGCAAAGATTCACATACTTTTGCCACTCACAGATATGTAACACTGCATCATTTTTCTCAGTAAATAAATAACAAAGAAAATATTTTGTCTCATTTGTTTGATTGGGTTCTCTTTGTCTATTTTCAGGACTTATGTAAAAATCTGATGATGTTTTGGGTCAAATTTATGCAGAAATACAGAAAATTCTAAAGGATTCACAAACTTTCAAGCAGCACTAGCACTGTGTGTGTGTGTGTATATATATAT